ACGCACTTGAATGTGTGCCCCGTCAACAGCTCCAACAACGTTGGGAAGTCGTTTGATGTTCATGAACCCAGCAGCTATACTTGGAAGGTCTTCAATTGTTGGGAAGTGAACTTAGAAGGTGTCTACCAATTCATGGTAAAGAGTTTTGCAAACGCCGAAGATATAGACATGCCAACGAATTACATTGTAGATGCAAAACACTTTACTCGAATCAAGACGCATAGTTGCTTGGGTATGTTGTAGTTGATAACGAAAGGGGCGAATATAGGGTGCATGCATTCCTGGATGATAACCATGATTTTCTTGCTGATTCGAAAAACGTCTTAAAACGCATGCTCGGACATGAGCTTGATCTTAGCCATCGACTCTGTCTTAATCTCTTCACAACGCCTTTTCCGCGCAACTGCCTTCACTTTTCGGCGTTCTCAGCTTCAACATCCTCCAAACCTTGTTGTTCAACAAAAGCCAGCCATGACTGACCAGCGATGGCAACCAATGGCAGGAGGCTGTCGTGGTAAAACGTACGCCACAGCTGAACCAGGCATCATAACAATGTGAGTTGCCATAGACTGAGCATGGTGTCTAATTTTAGGATAAGGAGAAGTGACAATGTGTCTCTGTATGCAGTTGAGTCAATATAGAAAAATTGTAGGCTTGCTGGTTTCACCAGCAAGAGTTTGGCAGAGTTATGAAATTGAGCTATTGAGTTACGACGATTAAGTATTGCACGTGCGTGCATTCTGTCAAGCAGCCAGACGTCAACTTTGTAAGTGGAATTGACGGCCAAATTTCATGCGACCACATTTTGATCGCACACTCCCAACATACGTTGTTGTAGGGGGGAACGTGATTCTGGTTACAGCTCGCTGGTTGCGCTGGCGACTACCGTGGGATCCCGGATCGGAAATCCCAAAGTCAGAGCGGGTGCCCTGCTGATCGGGAAAACAAATTTTGAATGTTCGAAAGTGCGGATGTCCCAAAGCCAGGAATCAGCCCTACGTAATGTATTTTTTTGAAAATGTGTAACACTTTCTAAAAGTGTGCATCGTGAATAGCGAAGATATTTGTACCGAAGCAAAATCCTTTGTCAAACTGCTACTTTCTCTCTTTTTGGTACAAAGGAGGGGGCGAAGGCCATTTGGCCTTCACCCACGTTTTCATTTCAAATTTTGGGTGGCCGAGGTGTCGGAGCTATTGGGACTGAGGCAGTGGTTGCCCCGCACCCTGCTACTACTACTACAATAGCTGCTGGTGGCGGAGCTGGTGGTTTGCTGCTGCTGCTGCTAGTGCTAGCGCTAGTGCTGTTGCTGCGGCTGCAGCAGCTACTAGGAGTGAGTAAGAGCACACGAACGAAGAACAGCAGAAATGGCATTGGCACAAGGCTAGTTGCCACTTTGCATTTTCAGGTCCTGCAATTTTCACGCTAGTGGGTGTATGGAAACCAATAAGAATAATGATACCCATTATGAAACAAATCTCACGTGGATTTCGAGGTCGTTGCCGACCAAGCGGTTTTTTATAGCTGTGAGCTCTATGGTAAAATATTTGTTGGCGAACTTCTTTTCCACGCCGGCAAATTTTTTCTTGGTTAATCAAGGACTTTATCACGTTCCTACGTATTAATCAAGGCCAAGACAGGGTATACTACAGGGAAGCATAACACAATGGGGCTCCATGGTTTTAACACATACCTCAAACATCGTTTTCGTAGAAATCGCTAGATGACTGTGCACCAGACACCGAAAGTAGGAGTTTTTGAACTTCTATGAGTTGACCTTTCAGGTTTTCGTTTGAAATATTGTGCGTCTTTAGTCCTTCTACCAACCTCTGCATAACACAACAAAGAAACAGAATTTAACGTGGAGGACATACGCATCTTATGTTAGTAATTTCTACTGCAATTTTGTCTTCGCTAGTTTGTCTTGCTTGCACTTCTTACATACCGTATTCTCCCGGACATAACACCCTAGGGTATAGCTAAAAATACAGGGAAAAAATGGGGGGGGGGTCTCCTCATAGGAAAAAAATACATAATACCCGGGTCTTATTATATTGCACATTTTTTTTTTAAGCAGAAATGAATGGAAACAAGAACAGGGGTCTGGCCTTATTATTATTATTTTGATCAGGGCCGCCAAACCGTGTCTACGAGGATAACGTCGTCCTCCACTGGAATCTGCCACATGGCAAATTCTAGTGGGCCCACTGTGCCACCTGATTGGTTGATATCAGTGCCAACCTCGAGCAGCTTGGGTTCATGCAGTACGAGGCCGGAATCGCGCACGGTGCTGTGTTGTCACTGTACTTGGGACCCCTTGACTCCCGTGTATGGTAGTCACGTCCAAGCTTCCTCACCCAAGCTTGCTCTTCTCTTCGTCAAGCGGTTCCAGTGCACGTCTTTAACAAATGTTCGGCAGGCTGTGAGAGCATCTCCTTCCTGTGCACGAGGGTATCGTCTTTAAAAGTCATTTCTCCCATGGCGAGTGACATCGACCTGCCTTAGTTCCCAAGCATGGCTTCATCTCCAGATTCTAGCAGTACGGTAGATAGGCGGAGGCGGCCTGTTTACAGCAATCAGACTAGCGCTTCTGCACGCGCACGGACGTCTCCTCGCCCGATCTTTCCTCAACCAGATGATCCCGGTAGTGCTTCTACCAGGGATGAACCGAGCAGTAGCTTGGACCGTCCTCGCCCTACCCTTCCTCGAGTGGTTGTCCCCACGTTCCCGGAGCGGAACCGCCCGCAGGGACAGCAGAAGCGCAACGCCGATGCTGACCCGCCATCCCCTCGCCATCGCATGACGAAACGCCTGCGCAAGGGAATCACCGCAAAGGAGAAGCTCCACTGGTTGAAGCTGCAGGACTCGCAGCCCGACCTGTCGAATCGCGCCCTGGCGAAGCTCGCGAAGGTGCAGCCATGCCAGATCCGCGATTGGAAGAAGATGAGGGAGCGGCTGGAGGTCTCTTCCAGCTGCCGTCGTCGCCTCATGGGAGCTGGCCGCAAGTCCAAGTTCCCTTTCATGGAAAGGGCGGTCTATCGCCAGTTCCTCAAGCACAGGGGGAGGGGGCTCGCCGTTTCGGTCAGCATGCTCCAGAAGTGGAGCGCCAAGTACATGAAGCACCGGATGCCCGGGGTCAACTGGCGCGCATCGTTCCGCTGGGCGACTCGTTTCCGCGCGCGCTGGCATCTGGCGAGACGGGTGAAGACGAAGATGGGACAGAAGTTGGCAGCGGGTAAGTGTTGCGCCGTCGTGCTCCTTGATTGCCATCTCAGTTCTGAGCTAATGTGTCTCGTGGCTTTGCTTGCAGATTGCAAGGCCAAGGTGGAGTCCTTTTGGGAGTTTGTGCGCCAGATGCGCTCTCTGCACGACTACCCGCTTGACCTCATCTTGAACGCGGACCAAACCCCGCTTTTCCTGGAGATGCCGGCGGAGCGCACGCTCGAAATGAAGGGAGCGCGGACGGTTCACGTACGGAGTGCGGGCTATGAGAAGGAGCGTGTTACTGTCATGCTGGCAGTAACTGCGAGCGGGCTCAAGCTGCCGCCGTACGTGGTGTTCAAGCGCAAGTCCATACCGAAGGTGCCCATCCCTGCCGGTAAGCGTAGCACGTTTAGGATGATGTCACTACTGCAGCCTGTCAACATTCGCAACCGAATTTGACCCTAACGTACCGGTGTTCTTTGGCAGGTGTGGTGGTCCGTGCACAAGACAAAGGGTGGATGGACGAATCACTTGTGCAGGACTGGATCACCCAGGTGATGGTGCCGTTTCTGAAGCCCTTGCGTGAATCAACTGGACGCCGCAAGGAGGCCTTGGTTGTGCTCGACTCCTACCGCGGCCACTTGACTGAGGCGGTCGGGCAGACCATGAGGATGTTTCGGCTGTCACGGGCTGTCATCCCAGGGGGCTGCACTCCGCTAGTGCAGCCTCTGGATGTGTCAATCAACCGCGCGTTCAAGTGCGGTGTGCGTCATCGCTACAGTGGCTGGTTCGAAGAAGAGGGCATCAACACCACCACCAAGTCCGGTGAGTTGAACCATGACATCCGCATGTGTAGCTTTGAATCAATGTCGGCTTACGCTCTGGAAATTCACATTTGTCCTTCTCTACCCTTCCCCGTCCCTCAGGCAATCTCAAGAAGCCGCCAGCGGAGTTGGTGCTCCGCTGGATCGATGAGTCCTGGGAAGCAATCCCACAGGAGCTCGTGAAGAAGGCGTTCGTCACGTGTGGGATCTCCACCCCCATCGATGGCAGCGAGGACCACCTCATCCTTGCCCACATGCGGGACAAGGGTGAGGTGGAAGTCCTTGACGACGTCAACGACCTGGTTGACGACGAGCTCGTCGTCAACCCCTTCTACGTCGAAGTCCCCATGCCGGCCGAGGAGCTGCAGGCGGCGGCAGAGGAGGCTGACGCCGCTGAGGAGGATGCGGAAGCGGCGGCGGCAGAGGAGGAGGGGGGCGTGCTTGAGGAAGGCGGGGAGGCAGAAGAGCCCAGCGATGACGAATGGTGGCGCCCTGGCCGCTTTGACGGGGAAGACTGTGAAGAATGGCATGCAGGAGACGATTCTGAGTAGAAGGCACTTAGTATAGAGTTTTTTGAGGTGAAATTGTGGATGTGAGGTGCTCTTGTGGTGATGTTTCTACAGTCTAGGTGACATTGTCGATGACTGGTATGTGCTGGCACATTACTTCTGTAGTACCTGTAAAGTACCGTATTCTCCCGGACAAAACACCCCCCCATAATTGTACACCCCCGGGTAGCTTGTGCGGGGTGGGTGTTATGGGGAGCCTCGTTTCTACTATACCCCTGATTCTCTATAAGACCCGGGGGGGGTGTTATGGGCGGCAAAAATACTGATTTTCGCTTACATTGCATACAGGGTACTTTACAGGTACTACAGAAGTAATGTGCCAGCACATACCAGTCATCGACAATGTCACCTAGACTGCAGAAACATCACCACAAGAGCACCTCACATCCCTATACAAAGTGCCTTCTACTCAGAATCGTCTCCTGCATGCCATTCTTCACAGTCTTCCCCGTCAAAGCGGCCAGGGCGCCACCATTCGACATCGCTGGGCTCTTCTGCCTCCCCGCCTTCCTCAAGCACGCCCCCCTCCTCCTCTGCCGCCGCCGCTTCCGCATCCTCCTCAGCGGCGTCAGCCTCCTCTGCCGCCGCCTGCAGCTCCTCGGCCGGCATGGGGACTTCGACGTAGAAGGGGTTGACGACGAGCTCGTCGTCAACCAGGTCGTTGACGTCGTCAAGGACTTCCACCTCACCCTTGTCCCGCATGTGGGCAAGGATGAGGTGGTCCTCGCTGCCATCGATGGGGGTGGAGATCCCACACGTGACGAACGCCTTCTTCACGAGCTCCTGTGGGATTGCTTCCCAGGACTCATCGATCCAGCGGAGCACCAACTCCGCTGGCGGCTTCTTGAGATTGCTTGAGGGACGGGGAAGGGTAGAGAAGGACAAATGTGAATTTCCAGAGCGTGAGCCGACATTGATTCAAAGCTACACATGCGGATGTCATGGTTCAACTCACCGGACTTGGTGGTGGTGTTGATGCCCTCTTCTTCGAACCAGCCACTGTAGCGATGACGCACACCGCACTTGAACGCGCGGTTGATTGACACATCCAGAGGCTGCACTAGCGGAGTGCAGCCCCCTGGGATGACAGCCTGTGACAGCCGAAACATCCTCATGGTCTGCGCGACCGCCTCAGTCAAGTGGCCGCGGTAGGAGTCGAGCACAACCAAGGCCTCCTTGCGGCGTCCAGTTGATTCACGCAAGGGCTTCAGAAACGGCACCATCACCTGGGTGATCCAGTCCTGCACAAGTGATTCGTCCATCCACCCTTTGTCTTGTGCACGGACCACCACACCTGCCAAAGAACACCGGTACGTTAGGGTCAAATTCGGTTGCGACTGTTGACAGGCTGCACTAGTGACATCATCCTGAACGTGCTACGCTTACCGGCAGGGATGGGCACCTTCGGTATGGACTTGCGCTTGAACACCACGTACGGCGGCAGCTTGAGCCCGCTCGCAGTTACTGCCAGCATGACAGTAACACGCTCCTTCTCATAGCCCGCACTCCGTACGTGAACCGTCCGCGCTCCCTTCATTTCGAGCGTGCGCTCCGCCGGCATCTCCAGGAAAAGCGGGGTTTGGTCCGCGTTCAAGATGAGGTCAAGCGGGTAGTCGTGCAGAGAGCGCATCTGGCGCACAAACTCCCAAAAGGACTCCACCTTGGCCTTGCAATCTGCAAGCAAAGCCACGAGACACATTAGCTCAGAACTGAGATGGCAATCAAGGAGCACGACGGCGCAACACTTACCCGCTGCCAACTTCTGTCCCATCTTCGTCTTCACCCGTCTCGCCAGATGCCAGCGCGCGCGGAAACGAGTCGCCCAGCGGAACGATGCGCGCCAGTTGACCCCGGGCATGCGGTGCTTCATGTACTTGGCGCTCCACTTCTGGAGCATGCTGACCGAAACGGCGAGCCCCCTCCCCCTGTGCTTGAGGAACTGGCGATAGACCGCCCTTTCCATGAAAGGGAACTTGGACTTGCGGCCAGCTCCCATGAGGCGACGACGGCAGCTGGAAGAGACCTCCAGCCGCTCCCTCATCTTCTTCCAATCGCGGATCTGGCATGGCTGCACCTTCGCGAGCTTCGCCAGGGCGCGATTCGACAGGTCGGGCTGCGAGTCCTGCAGCTTCAACCAGTGGAGCTTCTCCTTTGCGGTGATTCCCTTGCGCAGGCGTTTCGTCATGCGATGGCGAGGGGATGGCGGGTCAGCATCGGCGTTGCGCTTCTGCTGTCCCTGCGGGCGGTTCCGCTCCGGGAACGTGGGGACAACCACTCGAGGAAGGGTAGGGCGAGGACGGTCCAAGCTACTGCTCGGTTCATCCCTGGTAGAAGCACTACCGGGATCATCTGGTTGAGGAAAGATCGGGCGAGGAGACGTCCGTGCGCGTGCAGAAGCGCTAGTCTGATTGCTGTAAACAGGCCGCCTCCGCCTATCTACCGTACTGCTAGAATCTGGAGATGAAGCCATGCTTGGGAACTAAGGCAGGTCGATGTCACTCGCCATGGGAGAAATGACTTTTAAAGACGATACCCTCGTGCACAGGAAGGAGATGCTCTCACAGCCTGCCGAACATTTGTTAAAGACGTGCACTGGAACCGCTTGACGAAGAGAAGAGCAAGCTTGGGTGAGGAAGCTTGGACGTGACTACCATACACGGGAGTCAAGGGGTCCCAAGTACAGTGACAACACAGCACCGTGCGCGATTCCGGCCTCGTACTGCATGAACCCAAGCTGCTCGAGGTTGGCACTGATGTCAACCAATCAGGTGGCACAGTGGGCCCACTGGAATTTGCCATGTGGCAGATTCCAGTGGAGGACGACGTTATCCTCGTAGACACGGTTTGGCGGCCCTGATCAAAATAATAATAATAAGGCCAGACCCCTGTTCTTGTTTCCATTCATTTCTGCTTAAAAAAAAAAAATGTGCAATATAATAAGACCCGGGTATTATGTATTTTTTTCCTATGAGGAGACCCCCCCCATTTTTTCCCTGTATTTTTAGCTATACCCTAGGGTGTTATGTCCGGGAGAATACGGTACGCTGTATGCAATGTAAGCAAAAATCAGTATTTTTGCCGCCCATAACACCCCCCCCCGGGTCTTATAGAGAATCAGGCAAAAAGGGGGGTATAGTAGAAACGAGGCTCCCCATAACACCCACCCCGCACAAGCTACCTGGGGGTGTACAATTATGGGGGGGTGTTTTGTCCGGGAGAATACGGTACACTATGAATGTTATAAGTGAACTTCAAACTGATTTTTGTAAGGTCCTCTGTAGAGAGCCTAATAATTCTTGGTAAACTTCTTAAATGCATCTCCAGAACAACTTGGAGGTTCCTAAAACGGGAAATGGAATTATTTAAGTAGCATCCAATTATAATGAAATAAGCAAGGAACTAAGAACCTTGATGTCTTGCACCTTAGTTTGGTGCACAGATGTGTTTGGGTTTTGTGGCCCTGGAAGAAATCTACTTGAAGATGACTCGCTGTCTCTTAGGAGATTAAATTAGAAGTTAGCCAAAGTTCTAGCTCGAAATGTCACTAGCAGCTAGATAGATCGTAGTCTATCAGTCCTCCTCAGATGAGCACTGATGAAATCTCATCCGATGGAACAAACAAGAAACCCTGGAAGTTGGTTGTCAAACGATTTCTCGTTTCTGCAGCCAATAATGTCCATTTCAAGATTCGCCACTTGTACAGCCTCAAGCAATCCCGTATTCCCTGCCACAATATTGACCCATCCAGACTGTTGGCGATATGTTTTGCCGTAACGTAGTGATTTCACCCAAATCTTGTGAGACCTAGAAGTCATTGGGACGAAATGTAAAATTTTGAAATTGTGTAACATTTTCAAAAATCGTGTAGTGTGAATAACGAAGATATTCGTACCGAAGCAAAATCTTTTGTCGAACCGCTACATCCCAATCTTTTCGGTACAAAAGATGTGGCGAATGTTATTTGGCCTCCCCCCCGCAGCGTCCAGTCGCTGTCGTGTCTTGGGGTGGAGCTGCTGGTTCTGGGGGTACTGGAGCTGGAGGCAGTGGCACCCTGTCGCCTACACCGCGCATAGTACGTCTTGACCCGTGAGCAGCGTCTCGTCCGTTTAGAGAGGGAGGAGCGGGAGCGGTTTGAGAGGGCACGACAGTAGCAACAGTAGCACGAGCAGCAGGAGCAGCAGCAGCAGCAGCAGCAGTCTCAGTCGTAGCGTTAAGAGAGAGTAGAGGAGGAGTCATAGCCACAGCAGGAGAGAGCAGAGGAGGGTTCACGACTGAAGCAGCAAGTGCAGTTACAGCCGCAGCAGGAGAGGGTAGAGCAGGAGTCCCGCCCTCAGCAGCGGGTGTAGTTGCATTCGCAGCAGGAGAGAGTAGAGGAGTCACGGCCGCACCAGAAGAGGGTAGAGCAGGAGTCCCGCCCGCAGCAGCAGGTGCAGTTACAGACACAGCAGGAGAGGGTATAGGAGTCACGACCGAAACAGGAGAGGGCAGCGCAGGAGTCCTGGTCGCAGCAGTGGGTGCAGCTGCAGCCGCAGCAGGAGAGGGCAGAGGAGGAGCCGCAGGAGCAGCAGCAGGGGCAGGTACCGTTGCAGCAGACGCTAGAGAAGGCGGAGCAGCAGCGACTTCGACTGCACGACCTGCCTGACCTAGCACATGCACGCTTGGTTCGTGGTCCCATATTGTCCCCTCATGTTCCCCCCGTCCAGTCCCTTTCCTCGTCCCAATGGATTCGTCGTTCTCCCCTCAGTCGTGCTGTGTCTCCGGAGCCCCGTCGGTCTTGTTACCGTGCAAACGGTCCATTTCACCTTTTTATCTGCTCTCGTGTTCCATCTCCTCCAGTCCTTCCACAGCCTCCTGAGTCGTCCTTCACTCTGCTTCACGACCAGTTGTCCGACTACCTCCGTGCCTCCCGTCCCGTCGTCTCCCGTGTTCTGTTCGCGTTGGTCACTCGCCCGACTGCACCCTTGTTGTCTGTTTTGGCTCTTGTTACCACTGTCGCTGGCGTTGCCTTTTCCCACCGTCTTGACTAGCCGCTCACCTGGTGAGTGGCCCTGCTCGTTCTCCGTCCTCTGGGGGTGCTCCTGTCTTTTTCCTAGAGGTCCTGGAGGATAGGCAGTTCGAGCTTGGTTTCCTTGTGGCCGTTGTTCCTCATCTCTGCGCCATGCTGCTTGCCCCTGAGGGAAATCCAGACGCCCTTGACATCCCGATCCCTCGCAATCACGCTGAGGCGGTCTCAGGACCCTGGGCTTTGTACTGGATAGAAGCTGAGGAGGCAGATATGGCATCTAATAGGTCCACACGCACCTACATCGACGCCGTCCCACCACCTGGGACGAACGTTGTCAGTGGCATGTGGCTCTACAAGGTGAAGCGGCCACCTGGAGCACCACCGGTGTTCAAGGCGCGCCATGTGGCGAGAGGCTTCAGTCAGCGAGAGGGGGTAGACTTCTTCCAAACCTTCGCTCCCACCCCGAAGATCACCACCCTTTGGGTGTTGCTGCATATTGCAGCAAAGCGCGACTACGAGTTGCACTCCTTTGACTTCTCTACCGCATTTCTTCAGGGGAACCTGCACGAGAAGATCTGGCTGCGTCGTCCGCCTGGCTTCACTTGCACTTTCCCTCCTAAGACCCAGTGGCAGCTGCGTCGACCGGTCTACGGCCTGTGCCAGGATCCCCGCGAGTGGCACGACACGCTACGTATGACTCTTGCAGCACTTGACTTCTTTCCGTCGTGGCTCGACCCCGTTCTTTGTTCTGGTCTACGTTGACAACCTGTTCTTCGCCACTCCCGACCGACGCACACTTGTCAAACATCATATGTTTGTGTAGTTCTAGGCTGTAGTGGGTCACACCACAGGGGGTACACCAGATTAGGGTTTCATACTTGTACTCTTGTTCCTGCTAGTCACATCATTCCAGTTTCTTATCTTGACATGGTTTCAGAGTAGGTCGTCCGTTAGGACTGTTTCTGTTAGGGCCCACCACTGACTACTTCTGCTACTGCCACTGCGCCCTCGTGCGCCTTCGCGCCCTCGTGCGCCTTCTTCTTGACGGTCGCCCCGCCCTCTAGCGGCCCCGTCGGCCCCTTACTGGCCCCGTCGCGCTAAGCCCGGCCCCCCGCTAGCCCGCCCGTCACCTCTCCCGGCCCCCCGCTAGCCCGCCCGTCACCTCGCGCGACCCCCACTAGGAGCCCCGCCACTTCGCGCGGCCCCCGCTAGCGACCCCCGTAGCCCCGCCCCGGTCCCGGCTAAGCCCCGCCACAGCCCCTCCCACAGCCGCGACGTCCCCTCCCCGCTTAGCCACCACCGCGACGGCCCCCGCTACCCCCCCCGCTAGCCACCCGCGACGCCCGCAGCGGCGCGCACCCCCCGTAGAACCGCGCACCGCCGCGGCCGCCCGACCCGATCCGAGCCGCGCAGTCCGAACCGAGCCGCGCAGCCCGATCCGAGCCGCGCAACCCGAGCTGACCGCCCGAACCGAGCCGCCCAGCCCAAACCGAGCCGCGCCGCCCGAACCGAACCGCGCAGCCCGACCCGAGCCGAGCCTACCGTTGTTTTTAGGGTTTCAGCTCCTACTGCTACTACTACTACTACTGCCACTACTGCCACTACTGCTACTGCTACTACTGCTTGTGCTACTACTGCCACTACTGCCACTACAGCTATGGCTAGCCCTACAGTTCTCTCGTTCGATGCTGAGGGCCGCCCGATTAAGTTTGAGATTTGGCTTGACGATCTGCACCTGTTCCTTCAACTTACTGCCAGGGAGGATGTCTCGCTGTACGATCATGCCCTAGGCAAAGATGCTGCCCCTGCTACTGATGCTGACGCCACTACCCGCTCCCAGTGGCAGACTCGTAATGCCCACGCTCGCTTCGCTATTCGCAACTCCCTGCCTGTAGATGAGCGCGAGCACTTCGGCCAGCACAAGACTGCCCAGGCACTGTACACTGCTGTAGTTGCGCGCTACTCCTCCCCAGCATCTGCTGCACTAGGCCGTCTCTCGCTTCCCTACCTGTTCCCTGACCTGTCCGCCTTCCAGACAGTTGCTGACCTCATCACGCACCTCCGCACTAGTGAGGCCCGCTTCCGTGCCGCTATGCCTGCTGAGTTTCTTGCCTCCAACCCTCCCCCGCTCTGGCTCACTCTCTACCACCTATTTACCCGCCTCTCTGACACTCTGCGTACAGTCAAGGACAGCTTCCTAGCCCGCTGCCCCACTGAGCTCACCATTGCCACCCTCGAGAAGGAACTGCTTGCAGCTGAGAAGAGTATTGTAGCTGTAGGTGCCTCTCGTGGCGACCCCCGCACCCCTTTCTTCGAGGGGTGTTCCCCCTCCCCCCTGCTCCCCTCTGTCGCCTCTGCTGCTGCTGTCGACCTCCTTGGTGCTGAGCAGGTCGGCTCTGCGTCCGCTCCCAGCGGGCGCCGCAGCAGCAAGGGCAGGGGAGGCAAGGGCGGTGGGGGTGACGGCG